ACAGTTTATGAGTTAATTTCTACAGTAGAGCGTCGATTATCCGAAAGAATTCCAGTTGGTAAATTTAAATTTTCGCCAGTTCTGTGGTGCTGCAATCTTTGGCTATGTCTTCGGCTACTCAAATATTTTACGTTTTTGATACTAAATTAACTTCTGAAGTATAACATTTTATTGTTTTTATATTTTTCAATATATTTATTTTGTTCGTACAAAATAAAAAATAATTTTTAACAATACAATAGTCTTCGTTGGGCTTAACATCGACGAAAATTCAATGCGAAGCGACACGCAACGGAGAAAAATTTCAACATGGGATAGGTTAATATATTTTTTCGTGTGTAATCGGTTATCCGAAACATCGATCTTCCGAACGTCCCCAATTGATTCGGATAATCGACGCTCTGCTGTATTTGCAAAATTTTCTCAACCTTAACACAAAATAAGAAAAAAAGTGAATTTTTAAGAAATTTGCAGGATTTCCCGGGTTAAAAAAAACAACCGGGATCCCGTTTGAGAAACCCTAATTGGGGCTACTTTTTCAGTCAACACATGGCCTACAGTTAAGCGTGAAAAACTTTACAATATCATAACTTTACATGAAAGAAAGCATACATTATATATACTGAGAATGCGAATATATACTGAAGGCGCTAAGCTACGTCATAATCTTCTTGTAACTATGATTCTGTGTGTGTTCAAATGTGAATCCGCCATTTAACATTCAACGTTTTTGTTTGAACAAACAGGATAGATTTAATGGGGTGCATCACCTAGATGGAGATTTTTCCCAGTGAAGCCAAAGTTTTAGATAGTAAAATAATTTGTAATCCATATTTTCTGGACCTACTAATTTAGTGTGAAAAATAAATAAACACTAATGTAAATTTAGTTTAATAGTAGCAACATTTAATGTATTTGTAGAAAACATTACAGATTACAGAAATTAAAGGAATTCTGAGCTTCAGAAATCCCAAGTTAATGAAATATTTTTGGCGGTATTCTTTATCTTACATTTCATTGTGCCGTAATGCTATTTTCTAAAATTATTACTTACCAGTCTTCTGGAATTAGTTGAAATGTGTGTTTTAGTTCTATTTTGAATTTGGTGTTTACTTGTTTATTTACATATACTGTACCTGAAATTTCAGTCTTCTTTATATTAATCACGACTACAACGATTCATAAGTGATCAGTTGCTATTCTAGCAAATAGTAAACTACGTTGCTGTTATAGTAACAGAAGCATTAAACTAAATAAACAAGATTCAAGAAAGAACATTAAATCAGTTTATTTACTTTACTGTTGTGCCGTAACTAGGCAGGTGCAAGAGGTGCACCCACACAGGGTCCACTTTGAAGGGGACCCAAAACGCATGTTTTGTTTTATTATTTTTCCAAACCTAATTAATTACAAGGCCTAAATGCAAATTCTTACACAGGGCACAGGAATGGCTAGTTACGGCACTGGGTTTCAGGGCAGAAGCCGTTACCATGAGTGCAACTAGCAATTATGGTAAACAAAGAACAAATTTATAGCAAAACATAACTCTAGACACACAATAGCAGATCTAGAAGTCGTTAGTTTTGAATACCGGAAGAAAACGAGATATTATTCATTGTGACATCGTTACAATGCCAGGCTGCAATTTTTTATTATATTTTTAATTTATTTCATTTAAAATATATGCTCTCAACCACAAATTAGTAGCGGTCAAAATGGCAGCCTATCGCTCCGGGGAATTTGAGATCGAATCCGGTCCGTCCAGATATGTCGGGGACTATCCCCCACTGCTCATTGTAGGACTGACCGAACTCATAATGGGCTTGCTAAAAGAAGCCGGCCCTCTTAGTGCCCATAGGGCGAAGTTTTAAAAAAATTTGAAGTACCCGGCGTTACTCGAAGCGTGACTTCGCCTAGCTCACCTTCTCTAAATCTTCTCCTGTAGGAATGTAAAGAAAACGAAATGACGAGACTTATGCTGGCTCTCCACTTAGCGCGATCGCATAGCAGTCACTGCTACGCGACGCAATCGTTGTTTTGCGTACCTATACACTTTCGTTGGAAATCACCTTCCTTTCGCGTAATTATGGGAATTTTCTAAAATGACGGCAAAACTTTCAATTTAAAATAGTTTTTTATTTATTTTTAAAATCTAATATTTGCTATTTTTTTGCGCCTTTTCGAAAATTTCCACACCACGCTGTAGTGCTAATGATGGGTAAAAATATGATGTCACATACACTGAATTATAGATGGTGCGTGCGGATTGGCTACATACAGTACTTTATATTGAATCTGTGATATTTTTGCTAATAACAAAATTGAACTTGATCTTTTGAAATTATCAATAAACTAACCAAAAATATACATAGCGCGCTAACAACATAGATTACATTTCACTTATTCAGTTTGCTATATAAAATCAATGTTTCATTAACATTATTCATATTGTTTATCCGATATTAAAATGTATTAGTTTACTATTATAATCAGTTGAAAACAAACCTATTGTACACGTATGTATCATAAATCAATTAAATTATGAATATATTTCCATCAATGATCAAGATCCATAATTGTTTACGTAATTCTTTTACTTGCACATCGTTCTCAAATTTGTAATAAACTTGAAAATTAAAGGAAATAAAACGGATCTTACCAGTTTTACAGATCCTTTTTTTACTCTGTTCTGTGGGCTATAGGAAGTCTTTATAATCATAGCCATGATGGGTTTGTTCATGCTTACATTAGGACATGGCTTGACAAATCCACGAGACTACTCCCAAAATATTCTGTTGTTGATCCTGGATTGACTCAGAGCAGGGGAATAATGCCTTATTAAAATATGAAAATACTCGTTCTTAGAGTTTACTTCCTTAATTCTATCCGGCTCAGTTCCAATTTATTTCATTCATAAAACTATTACTACTCATACAATAAAAACACTTAATAAACTTGTTTAAATTAATTCATTAAGTGTTTAACAATTCGAGGTAATTTTTTAACACGATGCATTTAATATATTTAATAAACTTGTTTAAATTAATTCATTAAATATATTAAATGCATCGTGGTTAAAAAATTACCTCGAATTGTTAAATTTCCTGTTTTCCCTATACAATTTAATATTTACATAGGGCACTTTATTTTCATAGTATATATTTTTTCTACTGAATATTTTTTGCCATAACAATTTTCTTCGGTTGAAATGTTTAATAAATATTTCCTCCAATAATTATTTGGAATATGTATTTTACAATATCTTCTTACGGTGTTCTCTAAATTCTCATCTATAATTGTAGTTTTCTTGGTGGTGTGCATAGTAACGCGATCCAAATAACACTCACTATAAAGTTGATTACAGATTCTCGTGAAATTCTTAGATTAGCACACAAACCATACAAATACATTTATAATCGATTTACATATATTGTATGTAACACGTATGTTTGTCGAGTATAAAAATCGTTTTAACTCATTTCTTAAAAAAATTTTATTTACCGGATAGTAGATCAATAGAAAAAAATGGCAATTTTCATAAAAACAAATTAGGGGAGTAAATCAATTGCCACAAGACCTTTCCTATTATCGAAAATAAAGCTGAAGTATCGGTGAGTGTTTTAAAATCAGGGCAGGTGAGCATGGCGAAAAAGACCATCTAAACCATGGGTGTTCAACAAGCGGCCCAATAAACGTGTAAACAAAAAAATAAAAGAATTTGTCAGTTATTTCAACGGCACAAACTCCAAAAAGAAGTTTCACAAAGCCGTAAACCTTTATTTTTGAGTGAAAAGGAAATATTTTCAAATACTTGGAAATGTGTGAATGAGGAAGGTATACTAAAGCTGGAGTTGTGACTCAAAGGATTATAGCTGCAAATTCGGGGAAAGGAGAGAAAAGCCAAAGATAAAAAGTAGTGAGAAAGGTTAAACAGACCTTCCGTTACGCAAATATTGACCCTTAATTTTTATCTTCATCTTCTTTAACTTGTCCTCTCTCTCCTTTCGGGTCTATAATCCTGAGTCCCAACTCTAGCTTTATTTATATTCCTTCCAGCGTTGTATGATTTGGCTACCCTTTTTTTAGTTTGGCGTAAAAAAATATCATTTTGCGCATTGGCTACTTTTTGGGCTACGTATTATTTATACACATTGGTCGAATAAACATGCACTTTAAAATGGTATTTCGTCGTTTATTAATTAGAAAACCAATATTTGTTTTTTTTTCAAACAAATTTTTGTCTGTCTCCTTTATAATAAATGATTTATTCACTTCAAAATAAAAATTGAGTGTCTGTAGAAGTAATTTTTTAAAATATCCTTTTTCATAATAAAGTTTTAATACTTATTACTATAATCTAGACATGTAAATCCTTAAATATACTTGTGTATTTAAGGATTGGGCTAAAATATACTTGGGCCACAAGTATATTATATACACTTGTGGCCCAAAACTCCATGACTTCTTCCAATGTGGCCCAGAGAAACAAAAACGTTGGACACCCGATCTAAACTTATGAGAGGAAAGAAGAAAAGCTGTTGGAATCCTAATTGCAATTTTAAAAATAAACACACAACTTGCTAATTATCCACAAGAAATTATAGTATTTAATCCATTTATCAGTTGGTGTATTTGACTGTAATTATCTTCTATATAAAGCTTGTCCTAATTTCAATTTCCAGTGCTTGAAGCCTATTTTCTTGCCCATTCCTTTTAATGTGATTCTCAAATTTTAAGGAAAATAATCTGCAAAATATCCTACCAATATTTTAAAAAATATTGTATTGAAACGTTTTATCAATACAAATACATTTAATTTTTTAAATGATAAATGCCAACTTGAAAATTTTAAGATATAAATATATAAAGAAATAAATTATATAATATTACTTATAGAAATTATTTTCTGATTATCATGCTTCTCTTCTATATACTATTTAATAAAAGATCTTTTGTATATAGAATAAAAAATGAGTAAATAAAGATTAATATCTAGACAATTTCCATCTAATTCAACTTTATTGTTTAGATTCAGATTTTCATTTTCCTTTCTTTGCTTTGATTTTTCGAAGATAAAATTCTAACTCCTTTCCTTCTAAGATGTAGCCATCAGCTCTTCCACACTGACCTGGTCTTGAGGAGATACAGGCTGGAAAAAAATTTTCAAACATTTTATACTGCTATACTTCAAACTACAAACTTTCTAAATACCTACATAAGTATAACTACTGTATTATAAAATTAAATCTTAATCCAGAATAAACTAGTCCCCACTGAAAAATCTTGCATTAGTAAATAAAATGTGGACTATAAAAGTTTATATTTCTAAAAAAATTTATGATTTTATTTATTTTAACATTTTTAGGCAAAAATTTTAAATAAAATTTGAAGTTTATGCTGTCAAGGCACACCTGTAACCTACCTAAGTACAGTAACTGTTATAACTAAAGTTAGGCATTTTTCATTTTGCACGAATTTTGTATTTGAATTGGGAATGAAAAAAACTGGAATGTCATTAGTTAAGTTATAGACCCCCAAAAACAGTCCTGAAATGCACACATGCCCTAGTACCATATTAGCTGCCTAGGTTTCGGTATTACTTTGTATCAACTAATGAAACAATCACAGCACTGAAATCTCTGATAAGGATTTGAAAGGAAGCCATAAATCACAACCACATCAGTTGTTATAACCTCTTCCTCATCAATTGTTTTAAATTTTGACACATTTGTAATTAAGAAAACTTAACTGCACACTAGTAACTTTAGACAAACTAAAACATTTTGCAGTTTTCTTTTCCAAATATTTGTTGTTATAGCAAAATCTCATAAACTTTCTGGATATCATATCATACAGGTAACCCCTGTATAACACGGCACTTCTATAGCACGGATTCGCTCTAACACGGTTCAAGAATTGGTACCATCCCCCGTATAACACGGTACTTTTATAGCACGGATTCACTCTGACACGGTTCGAGAATTGGGTAAAACCCTCGTACAACAGGAAATGTAATAAATTTTTACATACTTAAGTAATAATAGTTCACGAAAATTATTATTTTCGTGAACTATTAGT